TTTTGTTTTTTAGGTCCAGTTGTCAATAGTTGTGAGTTTGTCATTTTACTGTTCATAGTTTTGATCTTCTTTTTCTTAGATAAGTCCCTTTAACATTTCATACAGTCTTGGTCCCTTATTTCATAAGGTCTTGGGGATGATGAACTCCTTGAACTTGACCTTATCTGGGAAGCACTTTATTTGCCCTTCCATTCTAAATGATAGCTTTGCTGGACAGAGTAATCTTGGATATAGGTCTGCACCTTTCTTGACTTCAGATACCTTCTTTCTAGCACCTTCTTCCCTGTAAGGTTTCTTTGGAAAAATCAGCTGATAGTCTTATGGTAACTCCTTGGTAGGTAACTGTCTCCTTTTGCTGCTTTTAAGATTCTCTCCTTATTTTTAATCTTGGGTGTGTGCTTCCTTGGGTCCAACTTCTTTGGGGCTCTCTGAGCTTCCTGGACTTCCTAGAAGTCTATTTCTTTTGCCAGACTGGGGAAGTTCTTCATTATTTTTTCAAATAAGTTTTCCCTTTCTTGCTCTTCCTCTTCTCCTTCTGGCACCCCTATGATTCAGATGTTGGAATGTTTAAAGTTGTCCCAGAGGTTCCTAAGCCTCTCCACAGTTTTTTGAATCTTGTTTCTTCATTCTGTTCTGGTTGAATGTTTATTTCTTCCTTCTGCTCCAAACTGTTGATTTGAGTCCCGATTTCATTCCCATCACTGTTAGTTCCCTGTACATTTTCCTTTATTTCACTTTGCATAGCCTTCAATTTTTCCCTGATTTTGCAACTATACTCAACCATTTCTGTGAGCATCCTGATTACCAGTGTTTTGAACTCTGCATCTGATACGTTGGGTATCTCTTCATCACTTAGTTGAATTCTTTTTCTGGAGCTTTGATTTGTGGAGGTTAAGAATAGTATGGGAAATGGAGAAGCCAAACAACTTGTATGTATAAGCCATGGACATGAACTAAGGTGGGGGAATACTGGTGAGAGGGGTTGCACAGGGTGGAGGGGAGAAATATAGGGGAGAAAAAAATGGGACAACTGTAATAGCATAATCAATAAAATATATTTTAAAAAAATGAATGCTAACTAAATGCTACGCAGATGATGTCAAGAACCCATCAGTAGTATTAGTCTCTTTATGGCAGTGTGGTGGACCTGCGGGCTGATAGATAGGTCTGGCTGTTTGGTTTCAGCCAGACTCTGAATTAACTGTGATACCATTACTTGTGTGTACATGTACATTACTCATTGCACAATATGCACAAGTGGTTGCTGTGCATCAGGTTCTGGATGTAAGCACTGAGGATATATGAAGTCTGTCCAGAAAGTATCCATCCATGTAATATGAAAAATAGAGACATTATTGAAGAAGTTACAAGAAACACTGTACACAGGGCAATGATGCCCAAGCCCCCTTCAAAGTAGGCAACTTGGGAGCTCCCACAGTTCTCCTAAGGTGCCTAGTTATATATTCCCAAATCTCATCAATAGTCTGAAATCTCTTCCCTTTCAAAAGTGATTTTGGTTTTTGGGAAAAGCCAGATGTCAAAGGGTGCCAAATGTGGGCTGTAGGGGAGCTGAGTCACTTGAGTGATTTGATGTTTTGCCAAAAAACTCTGCATGAGTTGTGATGCATGAGGCGGGTGCATTGTCATGATGAAGCTGCCAATCACCAGTTGCCCATAGCTGCAGCTGTTTTTGTTGTGTTGTATCTCGCAACTGACAAAGAACTTTCAGGTAGTACTCCTTATTAATTGTTTGGCCTGGAGGGGTGCACTCGTGATGGACAACACCTTACCAATCAAAAAACACAGTTAACACAGTTGATCTTGCTGTGACTTTGCTGTGCCTTCTTCAGGTGTGGAGAACCAAACAACTTCCATTTGGATGACAGGGCCTTTGTTTCCAGATCACAGCAGTAGATGTACCAATCTTCTGCAGTTACGTCCTTCTTTAGGAAATCTGGTTCATTGGTAGTGGTTTGAGTCAAGTCATTAGCAACTGTAGCACAATGTTCTTTCTGCTCTGGTAGCAGAAGCTGCAGAATGAATTTTGCCAAGACATGTTTCATGCCAAGATCCTGCATCAAAATCTCGGACACAGTAGTTTTTGGAATCCCCAGATCAGCTTCCAGCTTTCTCACTGTGAGTGGCCAATCTTTGTTGATTGTAGCCCATACATGTTCAACATTCTCAGGTGTTCTTGTTGCAGGCCTTCCAGAACATGGATCACTTCCAACAGGTTCTCAACCATCTTTGAAGCATTTGTAACACATTTTCATTTGTGCTGTACTCATTGCATTGTCCCTGAAAGCCTTCTGAATCATCTGAATAGTTTCTGTGGAGGAATGTTTAAGCTTAACGCAAAATTTGATGCAGATTCATTGCTTTACTTGCTCAGTCATTTTGAATATAACAGCCACACAATCACAATACACATGCTCACTTCATGGAGTCTACTGCCCCCACTGACTAGTACGGTGTAAGTCATCATTGTTCACTCGTGCTCATTCCAGTCCACTCTCCTTGGCTTCCAGGTTAAATATATGCTGCACAAATTGTTCTCATACATTAGCAATGGCTGGAATTTTTCTGGACAGACCCTGTATTATAGAGCAAAGCACTCTATAATATACTCTAAGCACTCTAAGTTCCTTAAGGAACTTAGTCAGTGAAGAGGCAAACAACTATCTACGCAACTAATAATATAATGGGGAAGAATAAGAACTATGGAGAAAAGATATACAAGCATAAATGAGGACCTTACCTCATTCTGCATATGCTTAGAGTTGTAAAATAGCTTTAAAATGGACTATTTGGCCCTGACTGCTGTGGCTCAGTGCGTTGGGCATTATACCACAAACTGAAAGGTCACAGGTTTGCTTCCCAGTCAGGGTACATGCCTGGGTTGTGGGCCAGTTGGGGGTGTGTGAAAGCCACCTGATTGCTGCTTTCTCTTACACATCGACATTTCTCTTCCTCTCTTTCTCCCTCCCTCCCCCTCTCTCTAAAATAAATAAACAAAATCTTTAAAAAAACTATTTGATGAGAGCGAAGTATTATTACCTCTTTTAGACATGGTAATAGTATCGTGTATGTGTGTTAGAGTCCTTATCTTTCAGAGATAATACTCTGAAATATTTATGGTGAAAAGATAGGACATCTTAGATTAGCTTAGAACAATCTAGGGGTGGGGACTGAAAGTAAAGCCAGAGTTTTCTTTTTGAAGATAGGGGGGCAGGTCCATAGGGTTCATTTTACAGGGTGGGACAAAAACAGGTTTACAGTTATTCATATGAAAAATAACACAATAATTAAAAAATAACACAAAAATAAACTGTTTCATGTACTCACAACTGTAAACCTACTTTTTCCCCACTCTGTATGTTTTCTATCTACTTTTGTTTATTTTTGAAAGGTTACATAATAAAAAGTTAAAAAAAAATCTTCAATAGTACCAAATTGAATACTCATCAAATGGGAGAATTTACTACATGAAAGGAGAAAGCAACATTTTTCTCTCTGTGTTGTGCTATGCCCTGTCTTTCTCAGGATCTCCATGTATTTTTATTTCTTCCTCTCCATTCTCATACCCTTGTCTACCTCCTCTGTCTTTCAACCACTTTATGGTATTCTCTTTTACTGGGGCTTAAATTCTTTGCCCCATAATTTTGTAGAGGTGGATGGTTTTCTCATTTACTCCTTTCCCATTTCTCTCTTTCCTCTCCTCCATGCACTAAATTTAATTGCATTGTCATCACAGATGCTCCTTGACTTTTTTCGCCTGTGGGGCAATAGAAGCAGGTTCCTTAATCTTATTATGGAAATCAGAGCAGGGGCTGTATATGTGTGCCTAAGCACTACCAAAAGCCCTTTCTGCCTCCTGTGGTCTACTCATCTGTCAGAGCATCTATCTATTGTCCACTTATTAAAAAATTGAGACTGGATATTTATTTGTGAGCTACTGAGTGTGGCAAAAGTAAAAACTCATTAGTCAGGGAGAAGAGAATGATGTGTATCTAATTGTTTGGTTCTTTTCCTAAATGGATATTGGTTTCATGAAATGTAGAGTGATATTTTAATTCTAACAATACATCCATTATAGAATTCCTCCCACTTTTTTTTTTTTTTTGAGAAGTTTAAACTACTTGCATTCCTAACATAGTTATCTGTCCTCATAACCTCTCTGAGAAGCAGGGACAGGGAGTCACCTATTTCCAGAACAGCAAATTCAGGCACAGTGAGGGAGATAATTGTTCAAGGTCACCAGGGAAGCCAGCAAAAGGGCCGAGGGCGAGATGTTGTACCTGCTGAGTACTTGAGAGTCCTAAGGCTTGCAGGCTTTCCTGTGGGCGTGGCAGGAGGAACCTGCAGTTTGTCCCCATTGTTCGGTTCTGTTTACTTGCAGGATGTGTAAGCACAGCATGTAATGTAATACCAGATGTTCTACGTGGGAGGAATTTCATAAATCACATACACTTGGGCATGCCTTTTTTTGGACTGCACCCAGCTCCTTTCATTGAGCACAACAACATAAATCTGTCTCCCAAATCACTGTTGACTCCCCCTGTCCTAAAGGAGACATTGCTGCCCTTTGGCATTTTTCACTTTTAGCTGGAGAGCATATGTGGTATCTAGTGAAAGCATCATGTGGCTTCTTATTTTTTTAGATGGTTTCAATCAAAGTGGCCCAGAATGATTTGGAATTGTCTGAAATCCACAGGTCTTCGGCCTGATTTCAAGGCCTCCACCCACTAACGGGGCCTTACTATTTAAACTCATTCTCCACCACCCCCAGCTGGTGCTTTTAATCCACAGAAGCAAACTGGCTCCTCAGCCATAGACACTATGCTCATCCTACCCTGGTGCCTCCACTCATTTGGTTTCCCTTCATGGAATGTCCTAATCTTGGCTGAGCTCCTATCACATCACTGACCTTGTCCTTCTCTACACTGTCAGAGGGCAAAGTCTCCATACCACGTGGCCTTAGCATTTAACAGCAGGGTATCCGAGTGTGAGTGAGTGTGAGAGGGAGAGGGTGTGCCTGTATTAGTCCTACCTCCACATAAATCCACAAGATTCCTGAGGGAAGAAAAGGGACCATCACCTAGAGTTATTTGAATTCCCTGTGTGGCCTAGGAACAGGTATGGATGGAGTGGTTTGAACTTTATTTAATTTCTCTTAAGAGAAGTATCTTTGGTTTCATTTTCTAATGTCCTCAATTCCATCTTCTACACAGCCATATGTAATCAACACTTAAAAGAGCCTGAGTAGAAAGAATGGGGAATTATGCTCTCTTGGCTGTGTCCACTAGGGAGGGGGAGGTATGGATTTCAGTTTGTGGTCCAAGCTGCTTCATGAGATGGAGAGCCCACATATCTGGGTCTATTCAAGGTCCACTATGACATTTCACCACAGTGGCCAGCACTGTTCTAAAGGCAGGGTGGACCACTCACCTCTGTTGAAACGCTTTCTGGCCCATCTCTCTCGCAGCTCTCTTCACTTCCTCGGGAATGGCATCTTTCTCAGCCTCAGAGACCTGGTATACCGTGTGGCCTGCATCCAGCCGGTAAGGACCTCCTTTGCCACCCAGACCTGCAGTGTCTCTCCCCCCTGGGAGGAAGCCAGGAAAATCCAGGTTGTTACTCTGATCCAGACCACCAAACAAGTCAGATCATGGTCAAGGCAGTCCCATCAAACATATTAATTGTACTTAAGTAATAATTAAATATTCAAATGGCCACCTTCTGGAAACAAAGGGTATCCCCTGTTCAGGATGCTTTTCTGTTTTCTCCATCCAGCCAGATCTTATCCTTATTTCAAAGCTCAGTCCAAATTCCATGACTTGTCATCTTATGACTGCCTCACAAGGATCAATATTCCTGTGCATTACCTGTTAACCTTTAAAATTCATTTTTCTTTTCTCATCAACAATATGATGGATAGGGTTATATTTTATATATCTTTGTACTTCTGTACCTGTAAGAGTGGCTTGAACATCAAAAATACTTAGTAAATATTTGTTAATTAAATAAAAAACACTTCTCTTCCCTCACATTACTTTAGTTTTCCTTGAAATAAGAAAAAATAGCTAGGCTGCAGACACTACTATTTCATCTGCATTGCAAATGATAAAAATGATGCACGTCAAGGTTAAGAGACCTGCTTACAACCTGATATCAGTGGCGTAGCCAAGATTAAAAACCAATCATTATACCAACTTTGAGTTTTAGCTTAGAATAATATATCACGGATAAACACTGCCAGCTTCAGAGCAGTTTTCCAATATAGACCCAAGTTCACAAGCTTGTAACAAGCATTATAGACCCAAGTTCACAAGCATTAGTAATATTATAAAAACTGTTTATGATGCAAATATACATTAAATGGCTAGAAGACTAAGTAGGTAATGTTATAAGTAGTGGTGAGAACTCTGGCTAATGAGAGAGGACTTGCTTTGTCTGAATACACTCAAATTCAAATTATTTTAAAACACTACATTGACCTAAAGAATACATATGTTGGCCAAGATTTGGTCTCTGGGCTACCAGTTTATTACCCCAGATTTATGATAATTAAAATACTGTAATCTGTTTTTTGTTCATTCACACATAACTTGGGAACTTAGAAGAGAACCCAATATTGGAGAGGCAGCATAATATAATATAGTATACTAGTATTATATAGTATTGTATTGTATAGTTAAGCCAGATTGATTTAAGCCTGAGTTTGAATCTGGACTCCAATGCACTAGTGATGTATCCATGAGGAATATACCTTAACTTCTGTGTCTCAGTCTTCTCATCTGTAAAATGAGGTTACTATTATCATTTACTTCATGGGATTGTCACGAGGCTCAAATGCTTAGAACAGTATTTGGCACGAATTAAGAGCTATAACAAGTGACTGATCTTACTAGTATCATTTAGGCAACTTCCAGTCACATAAATGAGGTCATTTCTAAGTTTCACAAAGTGGAAAATTTGAAAGCTTTTAGGCTTTGGTTAAATTATGTTACATTTTTATTTTCTCTGTTGGAGCCTTAATTGGTGTAATGAGTCAAAAGCAAGAACTCAGCATGTACAGCTTTCCTTATCAAAGTCCAGGTAGGTCATTTCCTTTTGGGAAATACTATGAGAACAGTCTATTAATTATAGTATTTTTACCCTTTGGTTTGAGCACATCTTATTTCATTCTTGTTTAGCTATTGGTAGTGGAAAATTCCTTCTTGGATGTATGTAATTCCTGGCTCACTCATGGATAACCTACAGGCAGAGGGGACCAGATACTGGACAATAACAATGAGCAACAGAGGAGGAAAAGCTGTTTATGTGACCCGACTCCCTTCCTACAGAAGGTTCTCCTTAGGAATGGGTAGATCATGAATCAGAGCTCTTGGCACTGAGCTGACATCATTTTTGGAGGAAAGAACCTACAACTGGAGCCTTGTGTGAGTGATGGTCAGCATGAGCCACATGGTCCCTCGAGGCAGTCATACTGGTGGAGAGGGCATGAGGTCTCATAACAATCACTTCCAAGAACCTTAATTTTTACTAATTTAATAAAAATGCTTGCTGGAGGTTCTAGATTTCGAGGCAGAATCTTGAAGCTAACAATGAATATCCTAAATCCATTCAGAGATAAGTAGAGAATAGGCCAGGGAGGGGTTCTGGTGATGAAAAAGGAATCAAATGACTTGTTGGGTCAGAGCTCAGTTCCATCTAGAACACAGGTGGCAAACACAAGGCCTGCGGGCCGAATCCGGCCCTCCACCTTGTTTTATCCAACCCAACACCTTGTTTCTACCTGGCAGCAGCTCTGAGCTCCTTGCCCCTAGTTAAGGAGTAGTTACATTTATACAGTCCTAAAATTACATTTGGCCCTTTGAAGGCAACTGCAAGGTGAATGCAGCCCCTGGTGAAAATGAGTTTGACACCCCTGATATAGAGAATTTTGTGGGAAAAGATTGAGGTAGAAGAGAAGAATCTGAAGCAAAGAAGGCTTGAAAATTGAAAAATAAAGACTGTGGGAAGCAAAGGCAGGATCTCCAGTCCAGGCATATATGTGAGGTAGTAGATTCAAGCTGAATAACAAGCGAGAACCTCCACTTCAGAGCAGTGCATGCATGGGAAACCTTTATCTGGCCAGCTCGTTCCACAATGCATTCCATATGGACTCAGTCTGGCTGGCTGGACGCTAATTTCCAGATCAAAGGACATTTCTAAAAATATCCTTTTTTTAGAGCTGATGCTTGATGAATAAACAGAGTAGGCAGTAAGTCCACAGGCCTATTTGATAGCACATTGTCCCAGCACAGAAACCCATTTCCTCCTGAGGCTCTCAAGGCCAAGAGGCATAGACCATCCTAAGGGAAGGCGAAGTTCACAGGCCTTGCCAGCACTCTTCAGGCTGAGATAAGATCAGACAGTGCGCACATAGTCTGGCCCGATTCCTGCGGCCTAGCAGATGTGTCTGCTCCAGCTGCCTCGGAGGAAAGAGGAAGACAGCAGTCATGGGAACAATACTCTCGTCAAGCAGCCAAGAGGAAGGAATGGGCCCCAGCCATCGGTTCAAACTGCAACCAACTCTCTTATCTCAAAATCCTGCATCCTCATACTCACTTCTGAGATGTGGAAGACAGGCACCATTTCTTTTCAGTCAGTCAAGAAAGAATTTACTATATACATTTCTGGCATGATCCCAAAGGCAGGGAATTTAAAAGAAGGGATTACCACTTTTAATGACTACATTCTTTGTGCCAAGTCCTGTGCTCAGTGCTCTACAATCATATTTTTATTTAATCTTCACCACAACCTTGGGAGGCAGTTAACGTCATCAACCCTTTACTAATGACGCAGATTGGGAAGAGTTGGAATGGTCTTATGTCATAGGGTGGCAGAGTCTGTCAGACTCCAAATGGCAGGGTTTTTCTATGTCTTGATGTCATGTTGGGACACAGGCCAAGGGCACAATCCCGATGACTAACGGAGAGGCAGAAAAGGCACACTGATCCCTGAGGGGTGTGGTGCTGTCTACATGGGCTTATGAAGTCACAGGAAGCCTAACGCAGGGGAATGCCAGTGCTACCAACCTGTTCCACCAGCCCAAGTATTGCCACCCACATGGGGCATGTTGTCTGGGTCTTCCTTCCCGTGTTTGGGAGAACTCACATCTTCACCACTGTCTCTGTTGATTGTTATCTAAAAACGAAGAATCGAGATATTATCTCTATCCCATGTCCAACACCAGAAACTGCAGGGCAGAGAGAATTCTCTTCCCCAAAGTCCTTAAGGTATCCCACAGCTTAGGCCATAGGCACATGGATACTGTTAGTGTCTGGCAAAAACGTCATCAGATTTAACATCCATTTTGTTGGAAGGAGACAAATTGAATATATTTTTAAAAAGAAAAGAAGCTGGACTGGGTTTGCAGAACATGCCTCGAGCATTTACACAAGGAGCAAAACCTATAGGAAACGGGGAAAATGGATCACACCAGGCAGCTACTCTCCAGTGGTTTAAAAGGATTACTGCCCAGCGATTCCAGCTGAGTTACAACAGATATACATTGACCTATTTAATTTTTGAAGAAATCCCACTCTCTGAGAAATGTCATTTTATATAAAATATATGAACCCCCCCCGGAAAATATATCTATTTTATTTCAGTGGCATGTTATATACACAGACACTAAAAACAGCTTATTTATTTCTTGGACCCACTCCAATTTTGTTATGGTATTTTGTATCTTTACTAATTCATTTCTATTTTAAAAGTAGATTTACTATTTGGCAATGCAAACAGAATAAACAGCACTTGAGGCTTCCTCTGTGAGAGCCTGTGGCTCATTAGTCCCTATTTTCATTCAGCATAATTTCACCAAAAGGACTGATAGCCACACAGAATTCCAATCCTAGTGGGCAGTTCAGTAGGTATTAGTCTACAATAAAAAGAACATGAAGCAGTTACATTTAACATACCCTCTTAGCCTGTTCCCAAATGTAATGATTTTCAGGGCAGACCAGATCAAATGTTCATTTACTTGTTCAAGTAAGACACAGAAAACTGTTTCAGCAGGACATAATGCAAAGTGCCATAGGGCCTACCAAAGCTGGGGAGGATTAGTCAGTGCCCTCAAACTGCATAAAATGGGGCAGGGAGCTTGCAAGTGGACCTGAAGCACGTTGCCAGATCAGTCTCTACAGGCTAGCCCGTTCATTGTTGGGACATTTCTCATTTTGTATGTTAAGATTAATGAAGGCACGTAGGTAACATTAAAAGTCTTTGCAAATAAAATGGCTATTAAAAGTGAATTCAACTTAACTTCCATTGTCTTATACCCAGACTAGTTCATTTCAAATTTTCTGACATTCTATAGAGATTTTAATTAACTGAAACTTTCTGTCAATAGCTTTGGCAGCATTAACAGAATTTTTCCCATAACTTCAGCATACTTGAGGAAAATTTAGCAGCCAGAGCATAATAATGGATACGAATTCCACATACATAATCATGCTCTAAAAATGGATGAATATAATTTCTTCTACTTTAAAAAAATTAAACTATGCAG